TGATGATAAAACAATTTACAACCAGTGTTGTTGTTTTTGCACATTTTTTACGTTTCAAATAGATAAGCCATTGGTTTCAAGCATGCAGGATTTGATTGCAGAAATAAATGAAGGTGAAAAGAAGGAACTTTGTTGTTATGTTGATAGCAACCCAACACCAACATCAACGAGATGGTTGAATGGAATCAAAGAAATATTCGTTAAACATGATATTAACAAAACTTGTTACACAATCAAAAGCGTCAATCGATTCGACCAAGGAAACTATACATGTATAGCAGAGAATATCCTTGGAATTGGATCAGTTACTATAGAAAATTATGTGTTTTATCATATTTACGGCTGTATTTTACAAAAAAACAGAAAATGTTTGATTGATTCATTTTTTATCACATGTGTACCAAAAAAATGGGATTGTGAAGATGAAACCAATATCTGTACTTAGTGTCTTTTTGTTGTTGGGATGTACAAGTACCCGGTCACGTCCACGTGTTTTTGTTATATGTATTTCTATTTGTATCCATCTGATGAGTTAAGCCTTTTTCAACTGATTTGTATAGTTCGTTCTTATGTTGTACTGTTACACCACTGTCCCAGGTTAGGAGGAGGGTTGGGATCCCGCTAACATGTTTAACCCCGTCACATTCTGTATGTATGTGCCTGTCCCAAGTCAGGAGCCTGTAATTCAGTGGTTGTCGTTTGTTGCTGTGTTACATATTTGTTTTTCTTACATTTTTTTGTACATTAATTAGGCCATTAGTTTTCTCGTTTGAATTGTTTTACATTTGTGATTTCGGGGCCTTTTATAGCTGACTATGCGGTATGGGCTATGCTCATTGTTGAAGGCCGTACAGTGACCTATATCTGTTAATTTCTGTGTCATTTGGTCTTTTGTAGAGAGTTGTCTCATTGGCAAGCATACCACATCTTCTTTTTTATATTTACTATGATAAATACAAGTATTTAAATTAAATGAATTTGACCTCTTTTTAAAAAAATGTTCGTACATATTTATTGCTTCAAATAGACAAACCAGAGGTTTCAATAATGCAGGATTTAACTGTCGACATATACGAAGATGGAACAAAGAAACTTTGTTGTTATGTTAAAAGCAATCCATCACCAACATCAATGAGATGGTTCAACGGAAGTCAGGAAATATCGGTTAAATATAATGATACCGAAATTTGTTACACAATTAACAATGTCAGTCGATACGACCAAGGAATCTACACATGTATAGCGGAGAATATCGTTGGAAGTGGATCAAATACAACTGTTCTTCGAGTAAAATGTAAGTTTTTGATAAATAACTTTAAAATAATCAGGAATATATGAACATTGAAAATATAAAGAAGCAATTAAGATTCTCACATACGACAAACACATAATGTTTTATTTAGGACAACAATAGTTTAAAGGTTCAAAATCGATTTTCATGTAATTTTATTTATTCATCTTAATCATGAATGATGAAAGAACATCTTTTTGAAAATACTACACAAACTTCTCTGTATTTTCATTCTTTATACTTACAAATGTGTACACAAATGCAAACATTTTGACGTTAATTTGTAATTTCGGCTGCTCAGACCCTGTGTGTACTTAAAGCACTTTTGGATTCCAATATAGCGTCTATGATTTCGTTAGCAGAGACAGTGAGTGTAATATTTGTTTCCTTCTGTTAAAAGATGTGTCTAGAGGACAATATTTTTTTCTGTTATATTACCCTTCATGTATATCAATCGTACGCATAAACAGCTGCATTTACAATATATGATGATACAACTTTGTACAACCTTTTTGTTTTTTTCTGGTTTATTTTTGATGTTTCAAATAGATAAACCTTTGATTTCAATGATGCACGATTTAATTAGAGAAATGAATGAAGGTCAACCGAAGAAACTTTGCTGTAATGTTGATAGCAATACACCAATAACATCAACGAGATGGCTGAATGGAAGTCAGGAAATTTCGGTTACACATAATGTTACTGAAACTTGTTGCACAATTGAGAACGTCAGTCGATATGACAGTGGTAACTATACATGTGAAGCAGAGAATATCATTGGAATTGGATCAGCAACTATTGCTCTAAAAGTAAAATGTAAGTTTATAATTTATTACTTAGCGTGACAAAAAATGAAAAAATACAATGTTGTCTCGATGGACTGTAAAAAAGCTTTTTCAGTTTCGAATATAGATTCAATTCGTACAGATCTAGATGACCTTCATATATACGATTATTTCGAATCTCTAATTCATTATCTAATACATTGACGTTAACCAAACAACAATTCATTATTTATTCATTCGTATGATATAGAAACTGGGTGTTAAACATGCATAAGACAAGCATTTTTCTATATTTGTACCTACATTTTTTGTACGCATGTGCTGTACATTACAGTTAGAATTACAATATACTGTGGATTCTTTATTTTTCGTCGGATACCAATGTTCGTGGGTTTTGTGGGTACAGAGATACCACGAATTAAAAAGTTCTACGAACTTCAATTTTTTTTATAGAAATGTATGCAGACTTTAGCAACCACGAAATCTAATATCCACGAAAATTTAAGTTTTTCTCGATCTACGAAAATTGATACCCACGAAAATAAATGAATCCACAGAAATACAAACTAAGCCAAAGTTAGTATGAAGGACATTTTAAACAGATATTTATGAAAAAAGAAGAATTATACGACATCGACGTTATTGTGTTAGGATGGCAGGTTGTTGCGAAAAGTGGACGTTTTTATTTAAGACCTTCGAATGATAACACTAAGGAGAAACTGTTGTACTATGCATTAAATGAGTTGTCGGGAAAACATATCTGTTAAGGGGACAACAATAATTCAACAGGAACTACAAACACAATTTTTCTAGTAACCTATTTTCAAAAAAATAATCCTACCACAGTGTAAAAGAGAGTCGAAAAACATCAAAAAAACATTCAATCTCAATTGTCGTAAACAAACTGATAGTGCCATGTTAACAAATGAAAAACGATCCAAAGCTGAAGACACAGTATACAAAACACACAACATAGAAAACCAAAACAACTAAACAACACGAACCGCACCAAAAACTGGGGCTGGTCCTATGAGCTTCGGAAGGGTAAGCAGATCCTGCTCCACATATGACACCCGTCATGTTTCTCATGTAAGTACAAACCTGTTGACAAGTCTGACACGGTAGGTCTCAATCGAAAAAAAGAGGAGGGGATTGGGGTCAAGACAATTAAAACATTTCCGTCGTCATCTGTGAAACAGATATTCCATAATGGTCAACAAACTGGAGACTGCATTCGTAAAACTTTCGAAAGGATTTAAATTTCACCACGTGGAACTCTTGTGTTAATAGCTCCAATGTAAACAGCAAATTTATATCAAGAAAGTCATGATATAAATCGCTGTTAAAGATACATCTGTAAATAAACAGCAAAATCCTGCAAAGTCCAGCAATGTAAGCCCTCCATTAAAAATCTGTTGTCTCTGATTAATACATATCCGGTGAAAATATCATTCGAAGAAGTAAATTCATTTGACTTTTTCGTTTCGAATAACTCTTCACAAACAATCTGTTAAGTTAAGACATCATTATCGACCATATATTAGATAGAGCATAACACATTGAGACTACTACAATAACGTCGGTAACTTCAAGGATTTTTTTAATTATCAGTAATCATTGATCTTTGGAAAGAAAAGGGATCCGGAACAGTTTAAATGAAGATTTTACAATGCGCGTAGACTGAATAATCTGCATACACAAATGGATACTTCATTGCACATAAGTACCTGGTATAGATATTCTAAAGTTTAGAGAATTGTATTGGCAATAGTGCATACAAAATGCTTTCTCGATTATCTTTAAGAAAGTTTTTGACTTTAAGAGATCATATGCTAATGCAAGAACATTTTGTATGAATTTAACTTCATTATATAACTTTTTCAATTTGATAGACGTGTTTCTCTAAACAATCTTGCAAAGTTCCTAGCATTTTGGTATTATAGATGATAGTATAATAACGCATAATGAATTTGACTATTTTTTTGAACGTCTTTTTTGCTTCAAATAGATAAACCAGTGGTTTCCAGGAAGCATGATTTGATTGAAGAAATACATGAAGGTGAAACGAAGAAACTTTGTTGTTATGTTGATAGCAATACAGCAATAACGTCAACGAAATGGTTGAATGGAAGTCAGGAAATATTTGTAACACATAATATTACAGAAACTTGTTACACTTTTGAAAACGTCAGTCGATACGACCAAGGATTCTACACATGTATTGCTCATAATGCAATTGGAAGTGGATCAATTACTACTGTTCTTCAAGTTAAATGTGAGTTTGTAATTTTTAAATGTAAAATACACACGGACATTACAACTGTATACATAATACATCGTAAAAAATATATCTGTCGACCAACTATCCATTAAAATATAGTACATTGATCAAATGTTCTGGATTCATCAATGATAATATCTTTAAGTAATTTTCTATCGAATAAATAGAGAAACAAGAAAATTTTTTTTTACGAATATTTGTTTAATTACATATTTGTACATAAATGCTATTATTGTGAGTAAACATTACAAACTGACCTTTTTTCGCGTATGGTATGGTTTGTTACATCGTATATTCATATCATCTGGGTGTTTTTGTTTGTTTGTGTTGTGTCATACTTGAAGGAAACGGCAGAAGCATTTTTAAACATCAAACAGCTTTGACATCTAAGTTTCTGATACTTTCAATTCGGATTTATTTATACAAAAATTGAGATATAGGTTAATACATTTATACTGATTCAGATTTTATCTTCTGTGTATAAATATTGCACCCTTTTTTTAACCATCTCTAATAATATATTATTCCAGTAAAATAAAACATTGTTACATTGGAAACATCATTAGAAAATAGATCAAAAATGCTTTTGTTAAGTTATAATCTAGATTTTGTGTAAACATAAAATATGTTTATTTTGTTTTAGCTAATCATAATATATTTAAAGAAAAAACACAACCGTTGCAAAACATCGTCCTTGGGGGATTACTCGGAACTATTGCTGTGCTTGTTGTTGGGATAGGAATTCTTTTTTGTAAGTACACAGTGTCGGTATTTTGTAATAAAATAATGGAAGAAACAAAAAAAACAAAAAAAAACAAAAACAGAAAACAAATATTAAAGATTTGGAAAACGGTTCAAAATTAAAAAAAAACCAGATTCATTATTTAGTCTTAAAGAATGTATCGAAAACTATAATTATGTTGAAACTCCGACTTTAGAATATAGCTGGTCATTAATGATAAAAAGTATTGTTTTAAATTTGAAAGATTCGTTTTGTAAAAAGTAAAATAACAAAAGTACAGAACTCCAAGAAAAATTCAAAACGGAAAGTCTAATATCAAATAGCAAAATCGAAAGCCCAAACACATCAAACGAATGGAAGACAACTGTCATATTTCTGACTTGTTGCGGGCAATATAGCCCCCAAAGAAAAAATCTTCGGTTTTATTGCACTTTACTATGTACAAACCTGAAAATATCTACTTAGAAATGGAAAATAACTGTCATATTCCTGACTTGCTGCAGGCAATATAGCCCCAAAAGATAAAATCTTCGATTTTTATTGCACTTCACCATGTACAAACCTGACAATCATGACAATACTTACTTAGTAATGGAAAACAACTCATATGCCTGACTTGTTGCAGGCAATATAGCCCCAATTTTATCATCTTCGGTTTTCATTGCACTTCGCTACGTACAAACCTGATAATACTTACTTAGGAATGGAAATCTACTGTCATATTCCTAACTTGTTGCTGGCAATATAGCCCACAAAGATAAAATATTCGGTTTCTATTGCACTTCGCTGCGTACAAACCTGATAAAACTTACTTAGAAATAGCGTTTGAAATGCTGTACATAAATAAATGTTTGGTGTTTGAGTGTCCCCTTGACATAACTCCACCTTTTTCAAATGGTCATAACATTTTGGTCGAAGGTCCCGTTAGATGAGCATAATCATTTTATTTGTTTGAAATGAACACTGCAAAAAATGCTTGATTGTAACAATGTTGTTGTGGATTTTCTTGATTTCACTTACACGTGAAAATGCAGTTCAATCTTGGATTGAACGGAAAATTAAACAATCAACTAAAGTTGTTGGCAAAATATGTAAATTCAGTATATGTTTTTTTCTGATCAATGTCTTTTATTACAGTTCACATAAAACGGAAGAACAAACAGAGGTGCGTATGATTTGCTATTTTATATATCACAGATATCATAATAAATTGTCGATTTATAATATTTGTACATTTCTCATAATGTTTTTTAATTGATGAAACACCAGACAATTGCAAGTATGTTAGTAGATCTAAGTCCGCAGTATTTTGCTTTATCGTTCTACAATGATAAATGAAAAAAGGAAACGTTACAATCTTTAAAGGAAGCTGGACTCTCGTGACATTACGGCACCAACTTTATTGCACCAGATGTGCATTTCGACAATTAATGTATCTTTATTAATAAAGAATTATTATAAAAAATATTTACACATGCAACATAATTTTAGAATTTTATCTACAATTAATCTCGAAACTCCAATGGGAAATGATGATGAAAGTGGTCATTATATGGAGATATATATGATAGATGAGAACATAGTGACGCCATGGCAAGGTATGAATTGTAAAAGATAACCCTGAAATAAGTACTTTATCCATTATATCTTAATCGGACTTGGTAGAGGGTATGTAATGTGAATAAACTAATCACAGATACATGTATCAGGATTAAAAATGTTGTACTCCGCACGCGCATTTCCTGCGTTAATGTATTTTAAAGTACTAGGTATAAGATGTAGCTGAACATGCACAAAGCAGCATATATATTCAATTCCTGTTTGTGATTATTTCGTATACTTTACTTGTGTTGGTTTAAAATGGAAGATAATATTTGTTTTACGTTATAAATGATTTACGTTATATGTGCTGTTTGCGTGAACTTGGGGTGTATAACATGTATTTTGACAACGAGACATACTTTTGTTAATTTCATCTTTATAAATCTACTAATATGTGAATTATTTTGTAAAATGCAGCGACTAAATAATATTCTCGTGTATGCCATAATTCATAATCATGATACATTCAGCATTTGTTATAGTATTTTGTTTGTAAATAGCGTGATTTAACATAAAAAGTGTGAATAAAGAATGTGCATCTTTTTACCCTTTGTGAACTTTTGACATTCTTTTATTTTTCATATAAATAACGTCAATAATAACATAATGACGCATTTTCTTGAGATTACACTTGGTTTAAAACAAGTCTCATATACCCTGGTTGTTTTCAGATTATGTACCGATATCGAACTGTATAAGTTATCCAATCACTAAACTCGACACATTTGTAATCCGTTATATATTATTTAAGTCCTCGTCGTCAATAATCATATACTATCAGTCATCGAGGGTTCTACAAGCCCAGTATATATTTGTTTGATACGAATGTGATTAAATTGATATTTTGTGATAACATGCTTTCCTTCATTTTTTTTAGTACTTTCAATACAACTGGTGATGTAGCTGTCATTTGCCAAATTATTCATAGATAGTTTGAATGTCTCGTTTAGAAAATTATTGTATACAATTCTTCCAAGAGTTGTTTTGTACATCTAATTAATTGAATTGGGGATATTAAAAGTATTAAACGACATTTATAACAGAAACATGTTCCAGCGCACAGTCATTTAACGACTTTGCTTTTAGCCATTTTTCTTTTAAAATACTTGAAATAAGATTTATTATTCATTTCGGATTTGTACGGATTGTTAGAGAAAACTGACGATCTCAATTAATATTATGATATTATAGTAAAATATGAACAAAATAAAAGAAAGCAAATGCATATAAATTTTATATGGTTCATATAACGCAGCAATCTGAAACACTGACATTAGTGATTAAGTAAAAATATACAAGTTTAATTGTTAGCATGAATGTACTAATGTGAGACCATCTTTTTTCTTCTTCAGCAAACAGTAATCCGGTTATACCAACAGTCGAAAGAGCAGTTGTCGAAAGCAGAGATATAGCTCTGGCGTCTGCAGGACATTCATCAACATCATCCGACAATGACAGAAATGCTTTTGGAGATTTGAACGATGGTTATGAGCATCCATACAACACACTGTTGGTAAATAATCGAGATGAAGACGAACATGTTTATCTCACTCCAAACGAGACGTCAAACAATGAAAATGCAACTCCTGTAAAGGATGCTGCTTGTGGATGTTCATATGAATTCACAGAACAAGATTCTTTGCCAGATCAAACAAAAACACATTGTTGTACAAATGATGGTGAAGAAAATAATGAATCGGAATTATAGTGAGAGCGATTTCAAGAAAACAGATAACGATTTTCGTCGGTCACACAAATATTAACAAAAGAACAGAAGAGAATATTTTACTCTGTCACTAAAACAGTTAACTAAAAACTGATACTATAAATTCTGTGGAATTCTATCTTTTTATTAAATGGGGTCTATGTATCTATGATTCAATTGTAATTACACAACTAAATTGATTGATTTATGTCTCTAATTTCTTTTTTTATACAATTGATTTTTGGGGTTTATTGATTTTATTTATTCGTAAATTTTAAGATTACATGAATAAAGTGTGTCTCATATCTTGTAGAAATTTCTTATGATGATCGGATAAAAACAAAAATTTACGACAGAATGGATGATTTTTGTTTCCCAATTGTGAACTTTTTTATAATTTTTATAATCAACATTCCAGCAGCGCTTACTTACTAAAGAGGAAATCCTAGATAATAATAGGTATGTTCTATGTTCCTTTGGAATTTCAACCAAAGATGAAGAACTGAATCTTCCATTATTGTATTGGATACCTAAACAACATAAGTGTCCTTACAAACAACGGCTGACTTCATTCAGGAACTTCTTCGGAAGAAAGAAAACTAGTTAGCAGTTATCCATTTACTTTACTTTCCGCTATATAGATGATGTTCTTTCACTAAATAATTCAAAATTTGGTGACTATGTTGAACGCATCTATCCCATCGAACTTGAGATAAAGGATACAACAGATACAGTTAAGTCTGCCTCATATCTTGACTTACATCTAAAAATTGACAATGAGGGTCGGTTGAGAGCAAAACTTTACGGCAAAAGAGATGATTTCAGCTTCCCAATTGTGAACTTTCAGTTTCTATGTACCAACATTCCAGTAGCGCCTGCATACGAAGTATATATCACCCAGTTGATAAGATTTTCCAGGGCTTCTATTCCTTATCATGATGTCCTTGATAGAGGGTTGCTGCTCACAAGGAAGCTATTAAACAAAGAGTTCCAAGTGGTGTAGTGGAAACCAACCTTTGTAAATTTTACGGACGCCATCACGAGTTGACCGTTATGGAATATCCGTTTCACAGATGTAAGCGGATTGTAACTACAAACCTGTCCCCTTTTTCCCGAATGTGACCTATCGAATTAGACTTATTACTGGGTTTGTACTAACAAGAGCAACATAACGGGTGCCACATGTGGAGCAGAATCTTCTTACCCTTCCGGAGCACCTGAGATCACCCCCAGTTTTCGGTTTGGTTCGTGTTGCTCAGTCTTTAGGTTTCTATGTTGGGTTTCGTGTACTTTGTTTTTTGTTTGTCTTTTTCTTTTTTAGAATGTCCTTCTGGTATCTTGCGCCTATCTTTTGCATATATGCAAGATATGGATTATATGCATTTTCTCCCAGTTAATACGATATTCCATTAATTGTGTTTCCTATCAAGGTTTCTTTGGTAGAGGGTTGCTGCTAAGATATCCATATATTGATAATGCATATGCAAGTGCCGCTGTTATCTAGAATGTTGCTGCATAGGTTTGGAAAGATCATAAAAGAAAAGTTAGAATTATACCTTTTGTGATCAAATGTCATTGTCAATTCCTATTTGTAAGTCAAGCTATGAGGCAGACTTAACAGTATCTTTGGTATCCTTAATTTCAAGTTCGTGAAATCAATATGTTGAACATTGTCACCAAACTTGGAATTATGTATTGAGTAAACTTCATCTAGATAGCGGAGCATGAAGTTGAAGAATAATGCTAGCTTCTTTTCATTCTTCATAAAAACCTTATCTGCCTCATACATGTCATATGAGGACAAAAACACGCCAGGAACATGAGGAGCACAATTGATTTCTTCTGATTTGTCGATTGATTGGTAAAAAAACATGTCTTCAAAACAAATAAATAGGTTGTCAATCAAATAATCAAACGTCTTAATTATATTTGTTTCAGATTTTTTTTCAAATCTAAGTGGTTTGCATTTTGTTACAAAGTATGATTTGTCCAATCATTTGTTTATATGTTCCGGACCATATGAGTATTTGAACCATACGTGTATGGTTATGACCATATGTGTATACTCATATGGTCCGACCATACGCGTATGGTTAGAGCATATGAGTTTAGACTCGTTTGGTTATTAACGGGCCAAAATATATAAGTATTTTTTCCATATATGTATCAGAAACGTTTTAATAACACAATGAACTATACTTGATAAAAAAAATCCTAAAAATAACTAAAAGTGTGAGAAATAAGCTAGCAAGAGGTGCAAAATGAATTAAAAAAAAATCATTGTTGAAGGCGTATAGTTGCTAACTTTTACGTCATTTGGTCTCTGGTGGAGAGTTGTTTCATTGGCAATCATCTTTGAGTAGGATGTAAGTGTTCATTGTAACACTATTATAAATTGTATAAGATGCGACGGCAGTAAGTAAACAAACCCACGTATAAGATAAGATAATTTATTTCAATTAAAGGGCCCATGAAGAGCTAAGTAATTTGATAAAATGATTTTAATAAATGACTCAAATAATTTTGATCATCATATATGAATATAACCAACTAAATTTTAAGATATATAGCATATAGTATAGGAATCAAAATTCAGATAAGTGCACTGCTTGCGATCCTAGCCCAAAACGGCACCATTTACAAGCTGAAACCCTTCATCTTTCACATATTGTCTAAATCAGGGTGTATTTTTTTGCTTGCCTTCTCTTGTGCCTATTAATAGACTCTTTTTCGTCAGTTAGTAAAACTGTTGACTCCTTGCTTATCAGTCCATTAAGATATTTTCTGAAGTAATCTTCTCAAGTCGAAATATTGCCTTCGCAATGACAAATCGGTAATGACCTTTATAAAATGTGTTTATTATAATTTCAAATAGTGAGTAAAATTCACATGGTTAATCGAGCGTCTGGATGGGGTCCTTCATTTCTGTATTTTTAGACCATTTTTCTCTATTCTTTCTAAACTTTGCCTGTTATTCTCTATTCTTTATATTTAAGCACCCAATTATTCTCTATTCTTTATATTCAAACACCCCATTATTCTCTATTCGTTGTCTTTTTGACTATGTTTTATCTATTCTTTATATTTTATGCCCTTTATTCTGCATATTTTGTCCATTATTCCCTATTGTGTAAACCCTATTCACACCCTCTTAAACTGCTTCTCCTAATTTACTTAATCCTTTAATATTTATAACTTAATCAAATAATCCAAAATTTCCTTTTGATATCGTCTATTTAATGACATTACAGCTAAAAGGGTCATACCTTATGAAGAGTTAACTATTAAACGTCAACTTGTTAATTACCCGGACCATACGCGTTTTTCTCATATGGTCATGACCTTAAGCGTATGGTCCAAATATTCGTATGGTCCGGAACATATACATTGAACAGTCTTTATAATAAAACAAATTTTGAATAATTCTTTCAGTCAAGTTTATAATGCGGAAAAATAGTGATAGAGCAATGTGTTTGAACTATTGTAAGAGGGTAGGAAATAAGAAAGTTATCCAAACAACTAAAACATGTCGTCTGTCAATAAGTCAAAATGTCAAACAAGTTAAGAAAAATGAACTACGTGTAAAATATATACTAAACAGTTTGTAATCAATCTAGTACTTGAAATAATTTATCAATACATGTCATCTTAGTAGCAGAAAACTACACTTTTGTAATTAAATAAAATCATATATATAATAAAAGTAAACCCAATTACAGGGTATCACAAAGGAACATCGGTTGTATTATTGTCCTTCATCTAATAGTAAAATTGAGTACCTGAACACGAAGCACACTAAAGTTGCAGACGACCCATATCACTTGTTTAAGTGAAAATCGATCCCGTTATCTAATTTCATTATATAAAAAAAAAAAAACCAGCTACCGGGTTAAATCAAGTAAAGGAAACATTACATTTGGCAAAATCTGACAAATCTGGTCATAAAAAAACATGATGATATCACCGCCAAATATGTCTACTATACGAAATATGGACAATACAATGTATATTGTTTCTGTTCATTTGTTTAATATACATAAGCCCATCTGTTCATTTTTTTACTAATAAACACACATTGGTTCTGCCTATTAAAATAATTAAAACCAGCCAAACGACTAGACTATTGGTGATTTAATTCAGATGTCATTTAAAATAATTTTATGTACTTTGACATTGTTAGTCGGTTTTGATAAGTGTGCATCAAACTAAATTTGCATTATATTCATTATTATCAGGAAACTGATTTTAAGAAATTAACAGATATGATTATCATATGCTAGCTTGTGCATCCTGTTTTAAGTGAAAATAACACTTAATGATTTTAATATACACGAAGTACATGTACTTGAAGAGGAATTTCCTTGATGACGTTCTAGGAAGTACTAGTATAAGTTAAATATGTTCAAAGTCAAATCGGAATCGATTTTTTTTACTTGTCTAAGATGTCGTACGAATAATATGACATAGCAAACACAATTGCGATCTCTACAGTAAAAAACGAAAAAACGACAAACAATTCTTATGTAATATAAATTTGAATTTTACCTTTAACATCTATTTTTCTGAAAAAAAAGAACGCATAATTTCGGTTGAAATTTGGAAAATAACAAAAAGAGGAGGTTCGCTAAGGGTTCAAATGGTCCAAAAGATTGAAGCAATACAAAAGTTTATAGATAACTGATAAGCATATGCGAAGTCTAATGAGAATTTTGAGTTATCGTAAATAAACCTGATGATTATACTTTCAAAATATATCATAATATAATTCCGATCTTTATACAAGTGGCAAAATATCGACGGACGACAAACGCAATGGGTGGGCAAAAGTACTATATAACATATAAATGTATTTAGTAAAAAGTTAAAAGGGCTTTAAAATATAAACCAATAATGTAATACCACAGCTGACAATGTATGATAAATTATATTTGTGAATACAAATAATCTGGCAACAATTTTTTTTTTAAATATTTGAGTAAATATGTAAATATTCATCACAAAGTTATAGTTTGACTGAAATACGAAACACAAACTCATCCCATTTCAAGTTCAAGACGACACCTAACACTGGTTTGAGTGGAACTGTTTCTAGCTGTCGATCTCGTTATATATTTGCATTATGGAACACAGTTGCCAGACAAAATCAACA